TGAACCAGAGTGAATATTCACATAAATCCCTTCTAGATACAATTTCACATCTAGTGGAGGCTCCTGTAACCTGGGACTGACAGGAGATCAATCTGAGTACAGACTAGAAGCGATTTACAGTCCAGTACATCACCATGCTAACCGCCATCATCAACCGTCACTGTAAACGAGGCCTTGGAGCAGAGCCAAGAGCATCAAGCTTGAAAAGGAAGTCAGTGAACCTGTTGCACAATGGACCCCAGTGAACTAGCCCTGCCGTGGGAAAAGGGTGCCCCAGTCGCCCCAGCCTTAAATAGTCCATGTACTACCAGAACACGAGTCTCAAACCCAAACGCACATTGTCATGATAATGTAAAGGTCTTTTTTTTTTTTTTTTACCCTGAGTTTTGATCATGTCTCAAGCTTAGCTGTATAGCTTCAAATAGACTCTCAAGTTGCAAAGTTGGAGATTTCTCTTCCACCAATATTTGACATTCTATTTTGCCTGAAAGAAGAAAAGGATATACAAAGATGGTTTTTCCTTTTTCTATCATTTAGAACTTCAGAACAAATATTTTATGCAGGAAATTTGGAAAACTGAATGTGCTGTCCTTTTTGTCTGTCCATCTCCTGTTTCTTGCTAGAAGGTAAGCCAATGGGGAAAGAGCTGTTGCTTCCTTCCCCAGGAAGGCTCCCCCTGCCTCCTTTCACTTTCCAGACACAACTGTTCTTATAATCTTACTTTCCTCTCCATTTCCTTACTTTGTGCATCCACTTCCTCCTGTAGCACATTCCCTTTATCTAAATCCATTCTCTTCTTTCCTCTATCATTGCAGGTATCGTAGAAAACATCTTAGCTAAAAACAAACCCTAGAAAGTCAGCAAACGCTTGAAAACCAGCACGGATGATGCAAACACTCTCGTTTGCACACAGCTCCCACCCCTCATGGTGAGCCACAGTCTTCAAATGCAGGAGCTGGAATGGTACTTCTGTAGCAAGAAGGGCAGGAAAGGCAAATCTTACAATCACTATAAAAAGGATTCACAGTTTCCATGCAGCATATGCACAGGGCACAGAGCCACCTGGTGTTAAGTTCACGTCTGGACTTACAGATAGTTATTTACCCAGACTACACCTCATCTGCCAACTGGGATTGGTCATGCCTACTTTGTAGTGTTGTTGTAAGAACTGGCAATATGAGATGTAAAACACCAACTACAGTGCTTAGTATCTAGTAGATGCTCAATAAGTGATACTAATTGTCATCATCATTTTTCTCATGGCTAAAATGGCCACAATAAAATTATATGAATGTATTATGCAAATGTGTGCTGAATATGTTATAAATATAGATTGCTATAGCTAGTTAATGTAAATGGGTATGTATCTTTTATAGAAATTAGCTAAAATGCTTAGCTGAGTAATGAAATAAAAAAATATCTTCCAAGCATTCTTTAAGAAACATTATTCATAGCTAAATGGCTGATGCTGAGATTTTTGAGTCAAACATGAAACTCTGTGTAAGGAAGGTCAATTGTAATTATAAAAGAAATGAAAATGGAGTACTTTTTTCCTTTCTAGATATAAACTTAAAATACGCAGTGCTCTCTTTATCCAAAACTGAGTTTGGCAGAGATACCAAGGTGTTTGTCATCACCAAGCCCTTTGTAAAATCAGTATTTTGTATAATCAGTGACCAGAGTTTTAAGAAGCCTTTTGTTCATGGGAAAAAAATAATCCTCAAACTTTATCGTAGTTCTGACCCTAAATACATCTTACCTTTCTGAAAAAAGATTTCAGCTTCCACCTCTTGTTCTTCTGTTCCTGATGTCTTGACGAGCTTCAAAGCTATTTCAAAAAGATGAAGGGCAGGTAACCACTTTGAGGGATCCTTCTTTTTACTGGTATAATATACTTGCTTGGCCACTGTATGTCCTAAAAGAAAGACAGCTGTATGAAGAGGGAACAATAGACATACAGTATTCATAACAAACCTCCCAGGTACCAGACTTCTCTCACAGTAGGTACAATTGAAGAACTCTGGGAGGGAGTTCCCTGGTGACCTAGTGGTTAGGATTCTAGGCTTTCACTGCAATGGCCAGGGTTCAATCCTGGTCAGGGAACTGAGATCCCACAAGCCCTGAGGCATGGTTAAAAAAAAAAAAAAAAAAAAAAAAAAAAAAAAACAAACCGGAAAAAAAAAAAAAAAAAAGAAGAACTCTGGGGGTCTTTAGTTCTTAGCATTGAAGAAATGCTTTAAAGAAACACAATACCCAAATATATCAATGAACTATAAACAATAGACCTTTGAAACTTTGTCTTTGATAAATTTCAACATTTTCTCATTTTTAAAATGAAGGATAGTACACCTGAAACTAACACAACATTGTAAATCAACTATACTCCAATAAAAATTTTTTAAAGATAAATAAAAATAAAATGCCTCTTTCAGTTATAAAATTTCAAGCCTCTCAAGCCTCTTTCAGTTCTAAAATTTCATAATGCTCTACATAACAACTTTTGTGTTCCTAAGGTGAGGTTGTTAGTAGGGAAACAACTGGAAGTTTTATGTAGTTTTATGTTGTTACTGTAAGGCCAAGTGGCCCGAGGCAGGGGAACACAATCAGATTCACAGGTTGCATCAGACCGAAACTCTCCGGACCACCCAGTTCCAGAAACTGACCTGGAGACATTCTGGACCACCCAGTTCCAGGAACTGACCTGGGGACCTTGCACCAGGCCCAGCCTTCCGAATACCCTGCGCCCTCTCAGATTCACCACACCCCTTTCCCTTCTTCCCCTATAAAATCTTGCCCAACCCTCGCCCGGGTGCAACTTCTCTGGCCCCTTTCTCTCGGTCCAGTGAACCTCGCCCGGGAGCGCTCCGTAATAAAGCTCACTTGAAGCTTTCCTCTGTTTTGCGGTGCCGTTTGTTAAGATCCGACCTTACAGTTACCAATAAAATTTGCATATATTAATAGGCGGTAATTTCTATTCAGCTCTATAGCAGTTGCTCGCATTGCATATTTTGTCATCCCAACTAGTTGGCAAACCCATTATGGACAAAGGCCACATGTTATACTTCTTATGCGGTCCCATCACTACTTAACATAATGAAGGATTGTTGCATTGTTGAAGAGGCATTAGATTTAATTTCTAATCACCTCAAAGACAGACATTTATTTGACAAATATTTTCTGAGTGCTTAGGCACCGGATAAAAAATGAGAAAATTGAAAAATAAGAGCTAAGTTTCATTGAGTACTTCCTACATGCCAGGTACCATCCCAAGTATGTAAGCATTATCTCATGCAATCCTCCCAACTCTGAGTAGATACCATTATTATGCAGATGTTACAGAGGAAAAAGCAGTGGCATGGTGAAGTTTAAGTAACTTGCCCAAACTCACGTGACTAGTAAGTAGCAGGGCTGTGATCTGAACCCAGGCAGTCCAGCTCCAGGGCCCATACCCTAAACCATGACACTGCAGTAACCCCTTAAGAGAGAGACCGTGGAGCTTAGTGTCCAACAGGGAATGAGAATGGCCAGACAGGCAATCAAAACACGGTGTGGTTGATTGTGTGGCAGTGAAATCACTGGACACTGTGGTAGCAGGTTACAGGAGCCCTGGCCAGACCTGGGAAAGGTCAGGGATGCCTACCCAGAAAATACAGCTGTCAAGGCCGGCAGCTGATGATCACTTTATCTTTTGGTAAGTTTAAAGAAGAAAAACGTTGAGATAAAGAGTAAAAGGCAACTAGGGGGGAAACTTCATTAATAGAATAGTTTAGCAGGCACAGTAGAGCAGTATGAGCAGAAAGGCAGTGTAGGACTGCAGAAGGATACAGCTGCTTAGTTGTAGCTGAAATGCTGGGTACAAGCCAGTCATTGGTGCTACCGTGTCATCTGAGGCTTTGAACAAGTCCCTACATGCCTCGGAGCCTTGAGGCAGCAGAACTAGAAAATATCTGAGGTCCCTTCAAGTCCTGAAAATTTTAAATCCAAGATGCCATGCCCTATAAAGAGTTTTCAGGAAACCTAGGACGTTTTGTAAATATTTAGTTCAGGAATGTGCTATATGAGTGGGAAGACAGTAGAAAAAGTATCTTTCTCTCCCCCATCCCTGGCCCTTTATCCAGGGAGAAGTTACAGAGCCCTTCCTCTGGACAATGCAGGATGGTAGCACTTTACTGAGAAAATGGAGATGAAGAAATTGAAGCCTTGCTTCCCCGGGCTACCTAGGAGAGTAAGGAGGCCAGGCATGGAACAGTGAGAATAGCTGACACCTAGAAAGCTCTTAGAACAAACTAGCTGCCCTTCTAAATGTGTTACATATTCCACTCAAGTCACTGGTACCTTTCTTATTTACATTTTACTAGAAAGGAAACTGACATGCAGAGAAGTTAAATGATTTCCTTAAGGGAACTGGACCAGAATTCTTTCTCCAGAGTCCATGCTCTTAAACCCCAACAATTACCAACTGCAATTAGATCTTAGGCCAGAAGGATATGCTAATACCATTTGTCCCATACAGTCTCACATCTCAATACATCTCTCATTCTTTTTTTTTTTTTAATTCTCTTTTATGGGGTCATGTTTCATTTTTTTAATTAATTAATTTTATTTATTTATTTATTTATTTTTGGCTGTGTTTGGTCTTCGTTGCTGTGCGCCGGCTTTCTCTAGTTGCGGTGAGCGGGGGCTACCCTTCGTTGTGGTGTACGGGCTTCTCATCACGGTGGCTTCTCTTGCTGTGGAGCACGGGCTCTAGGTATGCAGGCCTCAGTACTTGTGGCTCGCGGGCTCTAGAGCGCAGGCTCAGCAGTTGTGGCGCACCGGCTTAGTTGTTCCGCGGCATGTGGGATCTTCCTAGACCAGGGCTCGAACCCGTGTCCCCTGCATTGGCAGGCGGATTCTTAACCACTGAGCCACCAGGGAAGCCCATCTCCCATTCTTATATGTCTTGCTTACTGTTTTAAATTATACTACAGCTGTTTATTAATACAAGACAAAAATATCAAGTCTTTTCATGTCATTGAGGCACTTACATACATGTACAATATGTACTATATATGGACTACATGCAAGATAGTACTATATAATATAGTACTAATGTATAATAATAGTACTTGAATCATCTTCTAGATTTTTGTTAAAATTAGAAAAAGAATTGTTACAGAAATTATTGACTTTTCTCCCTCCCTAACTAGATAATAGGCTCTTCGAAGGCAAAGATGATGGCTCCCTGTTATATTCCCACTCCCCAGCACTATTCTTGAACCTTTCTTCACTCCTATTATACAATCAGTAATCTACTTTTTCAGCTAATAAGGAAGCTCTAGGTTCAGTCATTAATGGAAAAAAATAATCTTAAATAACCATGATGCTTATTTTTTGTTTGCTTTTTAAAAATAATCTCGAAATGTCTTTTTCTGTAAGAGGATTTCACAAAGAAGAAGAATTTTTTTCAGTGGCTCTATTCTTGCAATGAAATCTATACTATCACTCTAAAGGAAAACTGTCGAGAAAGCATCAAATCAGATGATTTTATGCTTCATAATATTGAAGTGCTCCTTTTTGCAATAAACATCAACTCTGTGAAAAAGAAGTTGTGAAACTGACGTTGTTTTGACAGAAAAGTTGCTTTCGGTTTTTATTCTTTAAGTTGGTATTTAATATAATATAACAGGAAGCAAGCTGTTCTGCTTCAAATGAGTCTAAAACACAGCAGCAGTATTGCCACTGAGTGGTGACACATCTTCAAGATTAGTAAGGCAGGAAAGCAGAGAATACGTTTAACACAATCTGTACAATTTAACACAATCTGTACTTTAAGTTCTTGTAGAAATCAAATATACTGGTAATATAACAAATTGTGGACCAAAGATACTGAAAAATAGCTCTCACGGGATCAGCGAGCTGGAAGGAACTCCAAAGGTCAGCTATGCCAGCCTAATTTCATAAATGAGGAAACTCAACAATATAGGGGTGAACTGCTTTACCTATGGTAATAAAGTTCATATCTGATGATGGTGATGATGATGATGATGAAAATCATATAATAATAATGATCAATACTAGTCATGATGGGGAGGAGTAGAAGGGGAACAAGGGAAAAAATTGTGGGCAGGTGATGGTTTGAGCACACTTCTGTTGCCCTCCCTTCCCCACTCTAGTCCAATCACCTGCCTCTCCTGAGCTGAGCAGTTGCTGGTACAGGAGGCAAATGGGTCCCAGGAGGTGAGGGGTAATGTTTCAAAATGTAGGTTTTGTTATTATTCAGGTATGACAAGGTCAACAGGTCAGGAGATGACCGCCATTGAAAAGACAGTATTTTTGCTCACAGTTCTCAAGAGGAGGGAGGGCACACCACGCCACACAGGCCCACACAGGGAAGCACCAGCGTCAGTCAGGAGGTAGAAGGAGAAAGGAGAAAACGTGGGCAAGAGCCTTTATTGTGTTTTTTGTGGGAAGGAGTGGGTGGGTAGGGTAAGCAGACTAAGGTTTAGGATTGGCTAGTTTGTATAATTTCAGTGGGCTCTGCTAGTAGTCTATACCTGTCCCTGGGGTGACTGGGGCAGAAGAATAGTGGCCCTGAGGGTAAGAGCCCAGCAAAGAACAATAAAAGAGCTCAATAAAAGTTCAGGGTGTAAGCTCTGGGATGGCAAGTTTGCATATGAAAGACATCCTCACAGGAGTGTGGTTTGCTAACCTCTAGGAACTGGCTAACCCTGGGAGGGGAAGTCCCTCCCTGGTCAGCAAGACTCCTGATGTCAAAGCATCAGAAATACACTTTTTTAAAAAAGGCATGATGAATATAGGTTAGAACAGAGAGAGAGCTGTTACAAGATTTTCTGTCCTCTGTGATAGACAAGAGCCTTGGAGCTAGAGGTAGGCAGCTTTGGGTCAAAGATGAGAGACAGTGTCCTAGAGAGAGCTTGAAGCAATGTCTGTGAGCTCCTGAGAAGGGCGGCAACACTGGCTGGCTCCTCCTCCTTGGTTTCCAAGGAGCTGTAAGCCTCTGGCTTACTGGTCTACCTGCTCCAATCAGATCCCATCTTGGCTGGCTCCCGTCTATCCTCCACTCTGTTCTTCAGCCAGCAGCCAGGGTAATCTTTGGAAACATAAACTGTCCCCTGCTCACCCTCTCCCATTAGGCTGTCCCTAGACCACTCTGCTCTGTCTATACTGGTCTCCTGGCAGTTCTGGAACATGTCAAATTTGTCCTGACCTCAGAGCCTACAACTCACTGCTCTCTCTGCCTCTACTGTGCATGACTTCACTGAGCATATGCTTAACATTTACGGTCCAGGGTTAAATACTAGTTCCCCAGAGAGGCCTCTTCCCCAGTTATTCTACTTAAACAGGCACCCCTCCCTTTGCTGTTCTTTATCAGCAGATCTTATCCACGTCATTTACAACACTAAGTACAATTTATACTTACATACATATACATAATTCATCATCAGACATAAGCTTTCTATATCCTTGCTGATTTCCTGTCTAGTTGTTATCAAATACACATCTTATTTTATACAATATTTATTGGATTAAATTTTATAAATATTATAATAATAAATTAAAAATTAAATGTTTATTGTTATAAATATTATGACAATGTATAAATTTTGAATAAATATTTAAATATTTTATACATTTATAATATGATAAATGATAGAATATGCATTCCTATATATGATTTGTTTAGTTGTGTATTTCTGTCTCCCAGGCTAAGAGAAGGAACCACATCTGTTTTAATCTCCAATAGCTTCCCAGGACCTCACAGGGAGGCTGGCACATGGTAAGTGATCAAAAGCTATTTGTTAAATAAATGGAACCTGGCTATTCATAAATACTGCCCCAGATAAATGCACTCACATGATAGCCTCGCTGAAAATGACTTAAACTTTTTCATCAGTGACTTGAATGTAATATATGTTTAAGTGTTCTTACCAATTCTCATTTTTGTTTTGGCCAATAACATGACATGAGGAAGATAGATATTTTTCAAAGGCAGTAATGGACTTGCATAGTCAGTGTTTGATATAGGAAATTCAATTGTTTCTCCAAAAGTTAGCATCTGTAAAAGAAGGACTGTAATGAGTAATTAGCTCATGTGGTATGCTGTAAGAAAAGACAGAAAAGTAAGTTTCTAAGTCTTGTGGACACAAAAGCACTCTCACCTGTTCAATAAGAATGTTGTGAGACTGAGTCAACAAATATAATTTTTCTGTTTTCGAAGAGGGAGTTTCCTTGAATTTCTCGGCTTTTGTTAAGTCATCCAGTAAAAGCATGCTTCTCACCAGTGTTAAATGAGATCGAGGAGAAATAAACTCACGTCCTTCAAGCAACTGTATTACATCCTATTAAAATAAAATTATTCCGTTTGACAGTACCACTCACAATTCACTGAAACAGGGGCCAGATGTATTGACTGTTATGCATTCAGTACCTAATGGAAATTTAAATTCTCTCCTTTTATTCTAACTGGAATCCTCTGGTAAATATCAATGTGAATTAGGTTTCCTTCCTACCTGAAGGTTTTTTATGATGTCTGCTTTTAAGTGCTTTTCTTGTAGGCCAATGATTACAGCTTGCATCAAGAATTCAGCCTGTAGCTCCCTGTCGCCTGCACTTTTTGCTTCCACACACACTTCATTGATGAGGCTCACACAATCTGTTATATCGTTTTCTAAAATAAACAAATGCGGGTACTTAAAATGCACTGAGAAAGTAAGAAATTATATGTGCAGGATATTCTCGGTGTTTATCACAGGAATATTGTATAATACAGAAGAAGAGGGAGATGTAGAGACGGAAAACAAATAAGACTGCACGAAACATTGAAAATAAACGTGCTGTAATTTACAAGAAGTACTTTAGGGTATCCAAATGCTGCAAAAGTAATAATGATATTCCATGAAATAATTTAATTTGGGAGATGGGTGAATAGATAGGTTTACATATAGATAACTATTAATCACTGCAAGAACTCATATTTATATGTGCCAGGCTGTAATCTAAGAACTTTAGAAATTTAACCCATTTAATTCTGTAAATAATCCTATGAAGTAGGTACCACATTTCTGTTTTCCAGAGGAGGAAACTAAGGCCTAGGGGGGTTAAGAGATTTGGCCAAGATTACACAGCAAGTAAGTGGTGGATAGAGTATTTGAACTCAAGTGGGGGGTGGCTCCAGAATCTGCACTCTGGACCCCTGGACCATGCTGCCTTCCTAGACGACAGGAAGGCGTGTGCATTAGCATTCTGAAATCTCCTTGCCTGCTTTGCATACAGTAATATATATGCCATTTGCAGTGATACAAGGGACTGCTGAAAATGATTATTCTCATTTAATAACTTGAATTTTTTATTCTGGAAACAGATAAAGCTAAGAAGTTATAAAATGTTAATGGTATAATAAAATACATCCCAAGAAAACCTCTGTTACCTAAATAAAATTAAATTTTATGAAAACTTTGATTAAGGAGATGGAAATAGGATATTTGTACCTTTCATGATTCCAATGCCACGAATCTGGGCAACAAACGCAGTCACCAATGCTAAGCGGCACCTCAACCACAGATGAATGTTGAAATATTCTCGAGAATTTAGGGAAATGGGATCTAAAAACTCATTATCATCTTTACTTTCAGTGGCCTAAACAATATTAAAATGATGGTTATCTTTCCATTTAAAAATGTCCAAGTTCTAGCCTAATGCTAAACGTAACATAAGTTAAGGGAAGCATCGATATCATTTAACAGTATTAAATTTTTAATTTTAGAAATTATTCTTGAACATGCTATAAAACATAAAAAATACACAAGAAACAAAAATCACCCATAATCCCCTGCTCCTCTATTAACACTGATCCTCATATAAGTGCTTTGCAGCATTTCTTTCTCTCTGTATACTCACTGTTGAAAACTAGCTTTGCAGTCTGAATTTTTCATTGCAAATTGTATTATTATCAGCAGTTTCCATACCTTCAAAAATTTCGTGACCATCATTTTAAAGGCTGAAAAATAATCAGTAATACTGGCTAATGTTTACTGAGTGCTTATTACGGGCCAGGCACTGTGATACATGCTTTATACACATTAGTTCACTTAATCCTCCTGACAAGCCCAAGAGGGGTTATTATTATCTCTATTTTTCAGATGAGAGAAGCGAAGCCTAGGAAGGCTAACTATTTGCTTAAATGTCATCATATTTTGGCGGAGGCTGGGATTCAAGCTTGCATCTTTCTGAATTTAGAGCCCACAGTCTTAATCTACTACATTACACTGCTATGTGCTGCTCACATCCCAAACATATATTACTTTATGATTTACTACCCTCATTATTACACTTTATAAAGAGAATGGCCAATGTTCAGAGCTACTGGGAGGGAGGTGACAAAGGAACTTTTCCAGGGAGCAACCAATCTTAGACACTTCATCTAGAACAATGCCCATTTGTTCTAGGAATGTCCTGCTACACATCTCTGACAGCTCATCATCTCCAACCAGTCAGCAATACCTGCTATCAAGGAGCTGTAACCTGGACTTGACAGGGGCTGGAATGTGACAGACAGGTGAGGAGCAGAGGGGGAGGGGGAGCTGTTCCTGAACCAGAGTAAGAAGTGAACAGAGACCCTGAGACAGGGTGGTGATTAGAATGGGTACACCACATACTCGAGGGGTCTAGTGTTTAGATTAGAAATACAGAAGAAATACCCATCAACATACCTTAATCTCTGCGTACATTGCTTTTATTATTGAAAAGCCAAGTCATGCTTAATCTAAATCAGGGTTTCTCGACCTCAGCATGACTGACATTCTGGGCCAGATTACTGTTGTGAGGGAAATGTCCTGTGTGTTATAGGATGTTTAGCAACATCCCTGGCCTCTACTCAGTAGATGCCACTAGCACTCCCTCTAGTTATAACAACCAAAATGTCTCCAGGCACTGCAAATGTCCCCTGGGAAGCAAAATACCCCTGCAAGTAACAAGCATTGCTCTAAGTAAAATTTCAGAATCAGAATCCTTTTTAGCCTTTATACTGCTTTTACTGTGGTAAGAAATGAATCAATTAGTTTTGCTTTTTTTTTTTTTCTGTGGTACGCAGGCCTCTCACTGCTGTGGCCTCTCCCGCCACAGAGCACAGGCTCCGGACGTGCAGCCCCAGCGGCCATGGCTCACGGGCCCAGCCGCTCCGTGGCATGCGGGATCTTCCCAGACCGGGTCACGAACCCGCATCGGCAGGCAGACCCTCAACCACTGCGCCACCAGGGAAGCCCCAGTTTTGCTTTTTTGTAATGACATTAGATAGTAGCAATTTTATTAGTAAAGCTTAAGCTTTATTTTATTTTAAAATGAGCAAGGATTCTATGTGCTGAATCTTTATATTTTAATCCTAAACAACCCTGTTGTTATTAAATTACTTGGCCTAATGAAAATCCAGTGAAATTTCAAAGAACGTGTGACACCAGTTGTCAAATAGACTTGAGGGCTTAAACGCAGAAGAATTTAACTATGAGAAGGAAATAGCACAAGGTACTATTAGCACAAGGTAGGAAATAGCACAGGTGGGAAATAGCACAAGGTAGGAAATAGCACAAGGTAGGAAATAGCGTAGGTGTCACACTGGTAATGCTAAAGAAGAAATAAAATCAAAAGTGAAATGAAGAGCAAGTCATGCGAAACAACTTTATTTACTAGTGACATCAGGTCTAGAATACAAGAATGATACATCTGGTGGGACTTCAGTCACGATTACATCCAGTCCCATCAATTCCCAAGTGAGATTACGTAATTTAAAAAAATTTTAAGGAATTTGCCCAAGGTATGCCAGCTAATAAATAGCATCAACGGGGCTTAAACACAGATCTTTTTACTCTAAATTCAATGCTTTTTTCTTCTTTACCCCTTTGTTTCATTCAAATAGTTATACAATTTCCTAGCATGCCAATAATTATTCCGTAAAAAGTGTTATCAGGATAAACATTATATTCATACATACATAATCTCCTGGAGAGATGGAATTCTCTGTGTCACCTTCTACTACCTTCTTTTTAAAAAGTTTTGAGTCCTGGAGAAGTTTAAGTGTGGAAAATACTATTGCAGCACTAAAATAGAGAATATGTTTTAAATGTTATTAGTATTACACTCGTGGCATTTGTATGTTATTTCCTAAGTCTCTTCCTCCAAAAAAACCTCCCCATACTCCCACCTATCCCCAAAACTGTTAGGTGCCCCTTCTACGTGCTCTAATAGCACCCTGGCCTTTACCATAAGGTGATACTTACAGCATTATTTAATTGCCTGTAAAATTGCTCTGTGTTTGTCTCAGCTTAATTTATCTTATCCCCTGCTGACACCCAGCATCTAGTAGCTTGGACATAATAGGAGCTAAAAAATATTTTTAAATGAAAATGTGTGAATGAAAGAATAAATGAATGAATGAATGTTTCCAAGATCTAAAACAAAATTTACTGACAATCTCATTAATAAAATGAGCACACATGTATTTTACATACATCAGGATGTGGTTCTCCAGTATTTGACATTATAAAACTGTTCTGCTTAATGCTGTGCACTTGGAAACTCTTAAGAAAAATTACTGCTCAATCATATCTAGCAGTGCCAGGAGGGAAAGGTACTTAATGCAGAAAATAGAAGCCAGGAGATAGTAATTCCCCTCACTTCCTGTTGTTCGGGATGTAAATTTTTCTTCACTTTAAACCATCACATCCTCCTTCCCTGTAGAATGATAAATGTATAATTGATGTCACACTTTTTCAAAATATTTTAATAATATATGTTAACAGGCTTCTTCATTTGAAAATCTATTCCAAAACAAAATTCAAAATACAGAATAATCTGTGTACCTGACGATGCTTATTGCAGTGCTACTTTATTTTTATTTTGAAGTGCTACTTTATAACACAGAAAGACTGAGTGAAAGCCAGACGGACAATGTATCCATTTATCTAATGCCCCACTAGATATCTCCACTTGAATAGTGAATAACAATCACATTTAAGAGGTGTTGTGGGTTAAACTGTGTTGAGGTCCTAACCCTCAGTGCTCATCACGCATCCTTATTTGGAAATAGAGTCTTTACAGAGGTAAACAAGCTAAAATAAGGTCATTTAGGGTGGACCGTAATCCAATATAACTGATGTCCCTATAAAAGGGGGAAATTTGGACAGAGAGACAGACATGCACAGAGGGAATATGATGTGAAGACACGCAGGGAGCAGACAGCCTGTGACTGGAGTGATGCATCTACATGCCGAGGAACATCAAAGATGGCTGGCAAACATCAGAAGCTACAGGAGGCAAGGAAGGGCTCCCCCCAGAGCTGTCAAAAAGAGCAGGGTCCTGCCGACACCTTGATTTTGGACTTTCGGCCTCCGGAACCGTGAGACGATAACATTCTGTTGTTTGAAGCCACCCAGTCTTGGGTACTATGTTGTGGCAGGAAACTAGGATAGGTTAAAAGCAGAGCCTCTTGCTTCCACCTCCTCCACCAAACCTACTCCTCTCCCCTGTTCTCTATCCCAGATAGAGGGCCCAGTCATCACCGTCTCCTCTTTGCCTCACACGCTATGTTCAATCCATCAACAAGTTCTGTCAGCTTCAACTTCAAGATCTGGATACTAGCCAGCAGCTCGTCCACTGCTAACGCCTCCATCCAAGCCACCAACATCTCCAGACACCCATGGGAGCTTGCTGGCCAGCCCCTGGAGTCCTGGTCTCTATGAAGAGACCACAGTGATCTCTCTTCAGGATGTGAATCAGATCACGACACTTCCGCTGTACTGTTCCAGAAGTCTCCCGCATCCCTGGATTATGGTCAATACACCACCTCCTTTGGGTCAGTTAGTGAGGTTTCTAGCCAAGAAGATGACCAGCCTCATCTGGGTCCAGGGATGCTTGCAAGAAGGCAGTTAGTCTCTGTGTGTAGGCTCCCAGAGTATGTACATATGCTCAACTTTTAATTACATTTTTAAAGCCTTTTTTGTATGTATCTATACATTGTATTGAAAGATATTTTCTCTTTTTTCCCCTCAACCTTTTTTTAAAAAAATGATAACTGGTATTTACTGTACTCACCACCTCTCAGGTGCTGTGTTAAATGCTTATTGTGAATTAATTCACTTTATCCGTACCACAAACCTACAAGGTATGTACTATTATCATCCCTATTTTACAGATAAGTTAACTGAGGCCCACAAATGTTATGTGACTTGCCTAAGGTGACTCAGCTAGCAAGAGGAGGTAGGATCAGAGCCCAGGCCACTGGACCCTGAGCCTGCAGCACCCTTAATCATTAAGCTACAATGTGACCTCTTTATTTTCACAGTTCTAACAAGCTTTGGCTTTGTTTATACTGGCACAGTGTTACTCGTTGCCACATTTGTATTACCATATGGTTATTGTCGACTGCAGCTTTTACAATATAAAAGGCCTTCTTTGTCCAGTTTAATGCCTTTTGCCTTGCATTCTACTTAGCAGACTTCATGAAACGGGATTATTATAAGGATATTAAATAAGGTATTTAGTCTTTCACTTGCTCAAAAATATGCATTGAGCACCTACTATTGGCCAGGAACAAATCTAGGGGCTATGGATACAGTCCCTGGCCTCACTGAGTTGACATTCTATTGAGAGCAGGGTATTCTTAACAAAGAGGAGGGCTTGGCAAATAGACGGCTCTCAATGTACCGTAGCCGTTACCATTATTAGTATATAAAGTTGGACAGGGAATATGCAGGGACTAAATTGATTTTTTTTCTAAGTTGTTAACCAGCATCAAAACCTTTCAGGCATTATTGAATTTCAATCTCTGAAGATTTTACTGAGTCCTTAAAATGGTTTAGATACTTGTAGAATATTTTCTAAAGTATGGTTTGTGATTATCTAAACTTACTTTTTTTTTTTTTTTTTTTTTTAATAAAACTAAACAAGGAAGCAAGAAAACAGCAACAAAAAACACAATTGCTGATGGGGTGTGTGTCCAGGTACGGAATCTCTTTTCCCCCACACCTTTCCTCCCTGAAGGATACATACATGTTTCTAAGGCACCTTGTTTACTGAGTAGCTTCAGAGGTTAGAACAGGATGACAACTAGAGGGCCCTGAAAGGAGAAAGCGATGCCCATCCCACTTTTCTGACCTGAAGCCCAAATTCTGATTTCAAGGGAAATGAGGCATGAGGTTTGGAATCTTGCTAACCCCAAAACTTAATGAATAAAATATAAACATACTGTATGTCCTAATCCAGCTGGTACTGCTTAGTTGCACAATGGAAAACTTCTACTTCCTCCTCTGCACTAGGAAGACAGGAAGTGTAGGAGGATTACCCACTACAAACAGTCAAAATCCCAGCGGGAGGATGTTTCACTCTTACACAAAATAAAAAGGCTCAAATGTTATTCCATTTAGACAATAAATTAAATAGAAAGGAGAATCGGAAGGAACACTTCAAAAAAAAAAAAAACAGGTTTCTGAAATAGAGAGGCAGCACTGAAAGAAGTAGAAATACAGTTTGAATAACTCTGATCCCATTTATTTCTTATTAACATTCATGACAAAAATGGTCAGTTTGTTCTCATAAAATCTATGCGGCTTACTCTACCTGTCACCCTAGGGAATGTGCCTTTCAATTTCCTTGACACATAATTTTATTAGAAGTATCATGAAATGTCAAGCTAACCAGCATCTGGGAAAGGGACTGTCCAACACTCGGCAGCGCCCAGACGGAAGCTCATGGAGGGTAAAGTTCACCTACTAAAACTCATTCATCCTGACAGTAGGCTTCCCCAAGTGACAGCTCTGCTGCAAAAAGCCAGCAACATCAAAGTTTCTGCAGGTTTTTTCCTAAGGGCCAAGCCCATGGATTTAAAATCGGGGCAATTCTGGTATACTTGCACATTACTTGCATACATCTATCTGGTCTTCAAATTAAAGTTCTATTACAACACTCCTTTCTGTGCCATTTTGTAATGTGTAGTTTCTCATTTCCTTCTTTCTCCCTAAAAAAAAAAATCACTCATATCCTCCACACTAAAAGGGTATAAGACACGTAGAGAGCTATGAAGCTAAGTGACAAGAAATATTTTCTAGAGCTGCTACTGCTCTCTGGGACACAGTTTGGAGAAAGGAGTTCTATGTGCCTCCATAGGATATCATATAGCCATATAGTCATATATATATACACACACATATATATTCAATACATATAATTATATATAGAATATATAGTTAGATATATAAACATTTTCTAAATATACATTTATATATTATATATGCACATCATTTATTTCTATAGGAAACAGTATAGTAAAAGTTCCTTCTGCCTTCAAACAGTGGGGAAAACAGTGTATTATTATACTAAGCCTATTTTAACCATCAATCAACTACCATTGTATTCTTTTTTTTTTTTTTTACCATTGTATTCTTAAAGATAGCTACAAATGTGACAATAGTCTAAATGAGTGGGTCTCAAGTGTTTTTACTCTCAGCACCCATTTACATCGTTAAAAATTATTAAGAAACCGACAATAGTCAATGAGTGGGTCTCAAGTGTTTTTACTCTCAGCACCCATTTACATCGTTAAAAATTATTAAGAAACCCCAAAGAGCTCTATCAATATTTACCATATTGGAAATTAAATGGAGAAATGTTTAATTTAACATTAATTAATTCATTTAAAAATAAAAATCATAAACCCATTATATTTAATATAAATAATGTATTTTTATGGAAAATATATTTTCAAAAACAAAAAAACAGTGAGAAGGATTCCACTGTTTTTGCATTTTTGCAAATCTCTTTAACATCTGGCTTAAAAAGAGAAAATCTGCTTAACAGAAGACTTTCATATCTGCTTCTATATTCAGTCTGTTGTGACATAATGTTTTGGATGAAGCGTATGAAGAAGACCAGGTCTCACACAGATAGTTATGGAACGTGGGAGGAGTATTTTAAGAGCCTCTTCAAATAATTGTGAATATTCTTCCTTGATACTATACCAACATGTGACAAATGATAGTTTCTTAAAAGTTTGCTGCTATGTGGAATCTACTACCATACACTGATGAACTTTTCCTACTCTGTTACGTGAAAATCTATCAGTCTATCTTGTTAACCAGGATTTTGGAACATAATGCACTGGCCATTTGGAAAACATTAGCTCCCTGAGTTAAACAGATTCCCTTAATGTTGAAGCATTTCATTACACAGTTTTTAAAAAATGATGCTCATTAATATTACCACCAGTCTCATCAAAAAAATTTAAGCATTAGACAACTGTCAAGCTCATGACGGCAAATACAAATTTTCCAAAAATCCAATTTTTCTATCAAAGTTTAGATTTTATCATTGACAACAAAAACTATTAGCTGTTTTCCTAGAAGTGGCATGTTCGTTTTGCTCATTTTCAGCAGAATACCTGTCAAATACCCAAGTCTGCATAATCATGGTTTGTCAGTTGTTTTTTCAAATAAAAATGTTGTTCCATGAAAACAACAGCTTGTTCAGCTCTCAGTTCATCTACATGTGTGCTGTTCCTCAAGATAACCATCAGACTGTGATATGCAGCAGAAGTGCTTGAGGTATATTTCCCACTTAATATATTCCCACAGAACATTAAAACTACATTGAAGAATAGGTATTTATAAATATAACAGTTTCTACTGCTTCATCAAAGGCATTCTTAAGTAAATCTGGCTTTTTTTTTTTTTTTTTAATCGCAAGCGTGCAGTGAAGAACAGAAGAACAGAATGGCTACCAGTTCGGTTTGGTGTCACTGCTTTGATTCATGGTGAGCTACCGGAAGTTTAACCACTGTTGCTTTTTCAGCATCAGTGCAAATAACAACACAGTGAAAAAGGCAAGCAACGTCTTAGTTTTATAAACTATTATAAACATAGTTTACTATGTTATAAACTACTATAAAAATAGTTCTGACCTTACAGACCTCCCTGAGTTTCAGGAACGCCCATAGGTCTGAAGACCACACTTGGAGAATCACTGCTCCAAACAGACTTTATGGACCTTCATCGCTGCTTACAAACCACAGAAATGTTAAATTCCCTAAAACCTATACTGTCTCTAGCATAAAATCAAATTTAGATGTGGTTAATCATGGAATAGCCTTCAGTCAAGGCTCCCACTGATGAGACAATTGTCTGTTTCCAATCTAAGCAAATGCAAAGGGGGATTTCTGCTGAACTCATTTCCCCTTTGCAAAGGCTACAAGAGGCCTTCTCCTGTTTAAAGAGAATGGCCATCTAAAAAATTAACTCCCTTTCCAAATTCTGAATCTAATGCATAGAACTTAAAACATGGAATTTTAGTATAATGAAAAAGTTAAGGAGGGAAAAAAAAATTGTTTTCATCTAATTTGATCATTTCTTCTTTTCATTCAGTAATTATATTTTTCATTTCTAAAATTTCTATTTAGTTTTTTTTTTCTAAATTCATCTGTTCCTTTTTTATCTTGTCTCATTCTCTTCCATCTTTCACATCTTTGAACAGTTTATTTCTTGGGCTGTGAAGCTGCCATTTGTTGTGCCTGCTAACTCTCTTTTGTGGCTCTTTCTTCAGTTGGTTTATGATATTTGATTCTGTGCTACCTTTACCGGCAGTTATTTTCCATGAGAGTCCTGCATTTCCTAGGTAATCTCTATGAGACAGTTTTGGTTTTGCCTCTGCTCCAGCTCTGTGATGTCAGGATCAGTACCAAGGTTAATTTCTCAGGGTTTCTGCATTTCATTGTCAGTGCCAGTTTGGACCCTGCAACTGCCAATAGCATTGACCTGAAGAAACTGATTCCTCTTGGGTTACTCTTTTTCCATCCAGGGCAGGCAGCAGTTTCCTTGCTGGTCCCCAGAGACCACTGTGGAATCCCAAGCTAGGGGACAGTTTCATTCTGTATTAGAGAAACAAAGAAGACTGGACTGGGATCCTACCCTACTGTGTACCAATTACATCAGAGCATCAAATTTGCCCTCTCTGCTGGGTCACTTGCATTAGCACATAATACATCATCGCTGCTCCCATCTCAAGAAAATTTGTCTTGACCCTGCTTCTACCAGCTGCTGACATCCTATTCCTCTACTCCCCTTTACTGTAAAACTCCTCAAAAGAATCATCTTTACCTGCAGGTTCCAATTTCTCTCCTCGCATTTTCTCATAAAACCACTCTAAATATGCTCTTTCCCCCACTGCCTTCTAAAATTACGCCTGCCGAGGTCACCAGTGACCTCCATGTTGCTAAATCATCAAATGGTCAATTCTCTATTCTCATCTCAATCTATCTGGAGCTTTTGGCAGAGTTGATCGCTCCATTCTCCCTGATACACTTTCTTCACTTGGCTTTCAGGATTTCATAATCTCCTGGTTTTCATATATTTACTGGTCATTTCTTCTCGGTCTCCTCTGCTGGTTCCTCATTTTCTCCCCAGTCTCCAACCAAACCCAACCCTCAGTTCTTGGTCCTTCTCTTTCTTTCATCTACTCACATTCCCTAAGGAATCTCATTCATTATAAAGGCTTGAAATACTATCTATATTCTAAAGACTCCAAGAATATTTGACATTTTCAATTGCACCTCCAAGGGACATAGTCTAAATGCGTCCAAAATCTAACTTCAGATCTTTCCCCTAAATAAGCTGCACGGCCGCAATCTTCCCCACTGTGGTTAGGGACAACTTCTTTTTTTTTTTTTTCTTGCGTTATGCGGGCCTCTCACTGTCGCGGCCCCTCCCATTTGCGGAGCACAGGCTCCGGACGCGCAGGCCCAGCGGCCATGGCTCACGGGCCCAGCCGCTCCGCGGCACGTGGGATCCTCCCGAAACGGGGCACGAACCCGCGTCTCCTGCATCGGCAGGCGGACTCTCAAGCACTGCGCCACCAGGGAAGCCCAGGGGACAACTTCTTCTGTAACTCCTCTCTTTTTCTCACCACTCTACAGCCAATCCATCAGCAAATTCTAATGGCTCTACTTCCAAAATATACCCAGAATCCGACTTATCACTACCTCTAGTGCTACGGCCCTGATCAGAGCCACTAACATATTTCTTCTTATTATAGCAGCCTCCCCAGCTGATCTCCCTGCTTTCAAACCCTTTTCCTCTTACAGTCAATTCTCAACCTAACAACCAAGGTTATCCCTTTGAAGTGAAAATCAGATGATGTCATTCCTCTGCTTGAAACAATACAATGACTCCTTACTTCCCTCAGAGTAAAAGCAGAAGTCTTCACCCTGGCCAGAAGGTCCTATATAATCTGCCTCCCCCATCAAGGATGACCTCTTTGAACATCTGTCTTAAAACTCTCGCTCGCTCCATTCTAGCCACAAGAGACCCTGTGCTGTCCCTCAAACATGTATCAGGCATGTTCCCATGGCCTGCAACACTCCATCTACAGGTATTTGCATGAGCCCCCATGTTTATTTGTTCACATGTCACCTCATCAATAAAGCCTACCCTGACCACCCAAAATTTGGTTCAGATGTCAAGACTGACGCCATACACATCAAGAGAGTGTGAAAAGGTTGATGACTCCCATAGTGAAACTATCCAGGAAGAGCAGGGCAGCCTCCCAAACAGGTTGAAAATGTCTTGAGAGAAAAGAGAAAGGAGACTGGCTGGGCTTTATAGTAGTTAATGGGTGGCGCTGGGGTAAGGGTTCCCATGTGTGGGCCAGGTCGGTGTGATTTAAACATCCCACCAGCACCAAAGAATGGGGCAACTAGGCTTTATTCTCTGCCTGCCCAGGTGTGGGGCAGAGGGGACGGGGGAGTGGAGGAGCTTGAAAGCAGTCAGTTAACGAACATCTAAACGGAGTCATTCTCTTTATTACAACTGCACAGTTTTAACAGGATAACCCTTCCTCCTCCCCCTGCCTCTACCCCTGATATTCTCCATAACACTTATTTTTGCCCACACTATATAATTTACTTACTTGCTAGGTTTACAGTTTATTGTCAGCCTGTTTATTATCTATTAGAATATAAACTCCATGAGGGTAGGATTTTTGTCAATATTGTTATATATTTTGTGTATACTGTATATATCAGTGTTAGGATACAGAACTTAGGACCATGCCTAGAATATCATAGGTGCCCCCAAATTACTTGTTGAATGAATCAATGAATGGTAAGATAAGAAATTTGCTCATTATTCAAAGAATCACTATTGAAAGTGTTCTCACGACAGAGGTGTTTATCATAAATGATATGGGAAGTTCTTGAAAGTATATTTCTATATTATCCAATATTAAAAACTCACTGAGAAGTATTTTTAACTATGCAAGTGTTTATATGTCTATGAGCTTATGAATACAGAAACTATGTTCTATTCATCTTTGTCTCCTTGGTGCCTAGATCAGAGCCCAACAGTGAGGCAGTTAGCAGATACTGGTCACTATATATGAATGAATCAATGAACAAATGAAAAGAAAGATCTGACATTAGCAACTGCATCACATTTTAAAAATGAGCCACCTACAATAGTTTATTAAGTGGTTGAGCACAGCATAGTTCAGGAGATGTTACTTTTTCAAAATAGAGCTTGTTTTTAATGTTTTTATCGGTTGTCTAGGGAGAAAACACTCCATAGGTGTTATTTGTAAAAAAGCTATAAGGAATTTAGGTTCTGCCTTTTAAAAATAAATTATTAATTAAAAAGGAGAACTCTGTGATTTTGTTTATGTTTCACATAAAACATCCTAGCTATATGCTTTAATAAACCAATTAATTTGTTGAGAATTATAGTTTTAAATGTAGTAATGTGTGAAAACTCTCCGGAATAATAAAAAGCAAGTCTGCTCTATTAATCTAGGAATTTATAAAACTTACATAAAATTTAGATATATTTTAACAAATTAGAGCGAGGAAGAAACTGTGATGCAGAGACTCGCCTGTATGCTGCCTGGTGTCTCTGCAGGGCGACTGCAGCCAGCTGCAGCCTGACCTCCACCACAATCTCTAGCTCGCCAGCCGAACACTGAGAGAGGTTCTTATGGCCTGGATGCTCCATCTCTGACACAAGGAAGTTGAGCCTGTCTTCAGCTTCTGTCAGTAAAATTGACTAAAGAAAGAACGACACACAATCACCCAAGTGCAGAAATAATACAAATCATGTCTCATTCTTATTCATCAAATATTTCTCATGTACTGAAAAGTAACAATGAATGGAAGACCTAAAAGTAAATCTGAACAAAATCATCAGAGAAGAGAGCTCAGTGAACAGGAAAAAGACAACAGGGAATGAAAAGGGAAGTAATGGCAAGAGTAAGTGTGTAGCAGACCTACTAGAGAATGGACTTGAGGATATAGGGAGGGGGAAGGGTAAGCTGTGACAAAGTGAGAGAGTGGCATGGACATATATACACTACCAAACGTAAAATAGATAGCTAGTGGGAAGCAGCCGCATAGCACAGGGAGATCAGCTAGGTGGTTTGTGACCACCTAGAGGGGTGGGATAGGGAGGGAGATGCTAGAGGGAAGAGATATGGGAACATATGTATATGTATAACTGATTCACTTTGTTATAAAGCAGAAACTTAACACGCCATTGTAAAGCAATTATACTCCAATAAAAATGTTAAAAAAAAAAAAAAAAGAGTAAGTGTGTAGGGCAGTGACCCTTTATTGCATGCACAGCCGGTGCCCATACTTGCTTATTCATAGTAGCTGTGTTCTAGAAAGTTGCTGCAAACACTGAGTCAGCTAATACTGAAGCATTGCTCCTAGGGAAATACAGGGATAGTTTCCTACGAGCCTCTGGTCACACCATTTTTGTCAGCTGATCAGTACATAACCTTGTTTAATGTGTGTTTATGTTTAAAGACACATTATTGAATATAAAGTGTAGATTCAATAACCTTGAACTCACAGCCAATAACTCTACAACTCATGCCTGATTGAAGTTGTCTAACACACATATTTTCTCCAAAAGGCACATCACAGCCTCCTTGCACTTAGGATTACTAGACAGCTCTTCAGCACTATGCATTAGGGGCCATTTCAAATAGTGAAAAGATCAACAAAAGACCCCACAAAAATGCAAAAAGCTTGGCAATAAATGAAAAGGACACTTGTTTATAGTATGAAAGTGGAAAGAAAAAGTCAGCATTGCCTTGTTCAGCTCAGCTGGGAATGTGCATATCAGGCAACTCAAAGTTTTCTATGCTCTGTGCCTGTCCCCAAATTACCACCAAAGAGCAAAGAGTATTGATTTGGGAGTTACAATTAAATTTTAGCAGATAAGCAAGTTAGCAAATACTGAATCTGTGAATAATGAGGATCAACTGTATTTCAAATTAAACTATGGTAACCTAACTGGTAATGTAAAGATAATGAGATTTTACAGTTGACAATCAATACTAAATAGCAATAGCAATACTAAATAGCAACATGGCAAAAAAGAAAGGGACCAACCAATCTTTCAAGGAACAGGTCTCTAAAACCTTGTTTGTATAGAGCAGTAAATACTATATAAGGACTAGGGTAATTTAGTATAATGGTTAAGAATGTGATCTGTATTTTATTAGTTGTATGGCATTAGTGAATTTCTTACTGTCTAAGCCTCAGTTTATTCATGGTTCAGCACAATACAGCTCAAAAATGATTAATATGTACATCACAGAGTTGTGAGAATTAAATAATCATGCAAAGTGCCTGTCACATAGTAAGCACTGAATAAATGGTACTGTTGTTGTTCCTGTTGTTATCACAATTATTATTAGGAAACACCAAACAGGGCATGGAATGCTCAAATCCCATCAGGTAATAAATCTTATTCCCCACGGCAACTTAATCAAGTTAAAAGGTCAAAGTCTGACACCTCTCGGCATCTGCTTTTCTCATGGGGAGTAGACTCCATCCCTGGCCCCAACCCATGCTTAGACAAGAAAAACTACGTGAGTAAGCACAGTCCTGAAAGTTGACCTGTCCAGGGCCTAACAGTGGGCTTTCTGGTAACAGATTCACTATGATTTGAAAATTCTTTTAAACTTACCTTTAGTGTGCTAAGTGCGAAGTCCTCTTTCATTTTTGTAAGCTGACAAAGTAAGCCTCCCTCATCCTTTAAACACACCTCTATAAGACACAACATTTTGGAAGAACTAAGAATATCTGTGGTTAGCTTAAATATTAATTCTAATTTACAAAACTCATCATTAGTTGGGAAATTTAATGTTTAAAAAACAACCACAATGATAATTAGAAACACACTGCTATATCAAATGGTCCCTAAATATCAGACATTAGAAGACTGAGGTTGATTCTTAAATTCTGAAAGGATCTTTTGGGTGCTTGGTGATGCCATTCAAGTTATCGGCTACTGATATAAAATAGTGGTTCCTCACCTGGGATCCCAGGACCCCTTAAGGTCCTCAAAGAATTGGGTTGGCCAGAAAGTTCGTTCAGGTCTTTTGTAAGCTGTTAGGAAAAACCCGAACGAATTTTTTGGCCAACCCAATACTTTGGGTCTTCCAGATATTTATAATATCTTGATAAGATCTCCTTGGAAGTGTCAGTTCTACTGATATGCTCCAAGACCTCCCTGGAAGTGTCAGTTCATTCCCCTCACTCTAAGAGCAGAGAGTGAGACCATTTGGAACAGCGCAAACTACAATCCTCAAATATCTCAAAATTCCTACCCACAATCCAAAGCTGGCCCTCATTCTGAGCGAGGGAGCATTGAGAGAATTTAGATCACAAACTTTGCCTGCTACAGTAAGCCTGGCTTCTAGACTACAGGAGGGATAAAAACTACAAGTCATTATTTGACTAGGAATTAATGCACAAATTACCCACCTAAAGAGACTAAGTTTGTCAAGTGGAAGAGGGAGTCCAGAATAACATGGAACTGAACACACCTGACTTCCTCCCTTCTTCCAACTTCAATTTGCCTGGCTCTTCTCCTAATTTAGGAGACTCTGGAGCTAGAGGGTCAGCTGAGTATGAGGGAGGGCCCAGAAGAAAGATCTGGGACGAGGTCTTCTCCCCTAAGGGAAAGTGAGAGACAGGCAAGGATAGAAACGGAGGAACGCTAGGATGATACCAGAACATGAGAAATCCTGGCAAGAGGTTAATCCACCTCTTTCTCCTGCTCTCTTTGCCTCCTGAGTCACCCCCTGTGTGGTCCTCCCATGTTGTAGCATGCCCCTCCCTCTTGGGAGCTGTAAATAACAAACTCTGTTTTCAATGGCAGCCATCTCCTGATCTGTTGGCCTCACCACACCTGAATAATAATAAAACTTACACTTTAAAACAGAGGCCAATATTATTCTGATACCAAAACTAGACAAAGACACCATAAGAAAACTACACAATACATGTTATGAATATGGATGCAAAAATCTTCAACAAAATCCTAGCAAACAATCCAGCAACATATAAAAAGAATTGTACACCATGGCCAAGTGGGATTTATCCCAAGAAAGCAAGGTTGGTAAAACACTCAAAAATCAACCAATATAATACATGCCTACAGATAGAATAAAAAACAAAGACCATATAATCATCTTAATAGACACAGGAAAAGCATTTAATAAAATCCAACACCTTTTCATGATAAAATCACTCAACAACCTAGGAATAGAAGAGAAATTCTTCCAGCTGATAAAGGACATCTATGAAAAACCCACAGTTAACATCATACTTAGTGGTAAAAAACAAAACAAAACAAAAAACTATTTTTAAGGCAACATTAATTCATTTGAAAAATATGTATATAGTTTTTTTTTTTGTTTGTTTTTTTCTTGCGTTATGCGGGCCTCTCACTGTCGTGGCCTCTCCCATTTGCGGAGCACAGGCTCCGGACGCGCAGGCTCAGCGGCCATGGCTCACGGGCCCAGCCGCTCCGCGGCATGTGGGATCTTCCCGAAACGGGGCACGAACCCGCGTCTCCTGCATCGGCAGGCGGACTCTCAAGCACTGCGCCACCAGGGAAGCCCTGTATATAGTTTTATATGTATATACGGGCCATAAATCCCATCCATGGGTATTTTATCCTATAGAAATATACACTATAGTATGGATATGTAGTGCTTCCACACTGTTCCCTAGAAACAAAGTGAACGCACAACAGGGGAATGGCTGAATAAACCATGGGCTGTTCACAGCATAAAACACCACACAGCCGGTTTAGGGGACCAAAGCAAATCAGCTGACTTGGAGTGGCTTAGCAAAGTTTTTTACATAAGAAATGCAAGAGGCAGAAAAATGTAAAATACATCATTTCTTAAATAAATGACAAATCCTATTTTGTATGTGCAGCTGACCCTTGATCAACATGGGGGTTAGGGACACTGACCCTCCATGCAGGTGGAAAATCCATGTATAATTTATAGTTGGCGCTTGGTATAGACGGTCCTCTGTATCCACAGTTCAGCATCTGCAGATTCAACCAACCACAGATTGTGCAGTACTGTAATATTCACTATTGAAAAATATTGGTGTATAAACAGACCTGTGCAATTCAAACCTGTGTTGTTCAAGGGTCAACTGTATATAATGTAAAAAAGTGGACAAATATGCAGATATATTGGTGTTTATGGATAGGCAGGTACCTAGACATAAGCACATACGAGTGTCATTAAGTGAGCTCAGAGAAAACCATGAAAGAATATCTACTAGAATGTTCATATGGATTACTGGGGGTAGAGTGGGGAATAGGTGGGGAAAGGGAGTAGAAAGAGAAATAAGCAAAAAAATAGAACAAAAGATTACCTTTCAAGTTTGGGAAGTTTGGTCTGTTTTTCTCATTAATAAGTCCATGGCAGACTGGTTTCATTTTATGTTCTGGGACACAATTTATTGTTGCAGCCACATTTACTAAAAAGTATGCTTTAACAAAGGCAAACTTATTTAAGAGATGTTGCTGACCGACTGTAACCAGAAGTAGAGGCAAGCCTTTGTTTATTAAATCATCAAGTGCCTAAAAAAATTTAAAAAAAAAGACAAAATAGTAAAATACTGTTTTCAGATATTATTAGCTTCAGTCCCCTTCTGCAGTCCTCATTTGGTGCAGGGTGAAGGAATTCAGGGATAGACATGAGGGGACATAATTGGCAGGTCCATTGAGAGAGGCGTCACAACGATGCCAGCAGGTCCACAGTGCTCCTGCCGTTTCCCACCAGTTGGTTACCTGCCCCATGAGGCCAGCCCTGCCACACAGGGAGAGTGAACCCAGTGCCGACAGCGAGGAGGGGACACCTTATCAAAATGGAGCAACTGAAAAAGCTCATCAGCCATGCATGCTGGCCGCTCTGCTTTAGCTCGAGTAAATTAGAGCTCGCAGGATGGGAAAAAGGGGAAGCACGGGAGGATAAGCAAACCCCTTCCCAACTTAGAATCTGTGTCAATCATGAGAATCCCCACCTTGAGGACTCCCTCAACTTCCTGGTCCCCTCCCTTGCATGCACACTTCCTTGGCAATCATGCTAAGTGGCACCACTTTAAGTTCCTGACCAAACCTCAGTGCCACCTGGTCATCATCCTACATTTTCCCAGTCCATTCACCCTTGCTGTCTCCTAGACAACCATTTCATGCTCCTCTTGTTTCTAAATTCTAACACTTTCTCCCCAATGCCCCTCCCAGCTAGTAACCTTGCTTCCTATACTTAAATGAGAAAACTGAAGCAGTCAGAGTAGTGTCCACAGACCTCACAGCTCCGCCCCTCCCACCTATCCAAGCATCTGCCTCACTGCCCTGCCTTCCTTCCTGCTTCCTAAGGCTGGTGCCACCACTTCGGCCATCAGTCCTGTCCCCACGGGTATACTCAGCCATTCTCTCCTACATCATAAGTGTTCCCTTTCTAACAAATACCATATGATATCACTTACATGTGGAATCTAAAGTATGACACAAATGAACTTATCTATGAAACAGAAACACTCACAGACACAGAGAACAGACGTGTGGTTGCCAAGGGGAGAAGGTCGGGGAGGGATGCACTGGGAGTTTGGGGTTAGCAGACATAAACTCTTATATATGGAATGGGTAAACAACAAAGTCCTATTGTATAGCACAGAGAACTAAATTCAGTATCCTATGATAAACCATAATGTAAAAGAATATGAAAAAGAATATATATATATATATATATATATATATATATATATATATATATAGGTTTGACGTAAATACACTACCATGTGTAAAATAGATAGCTAGTGGGAACCTGCTATATAGCACAGGGAGCTCAGCTCTGGTGCTCTGTGATGACCTAGATGGTTGAGACTGGGGGGTGGGATGGAGGAGGGAGGTCTAAGGGGAAGGGGATATATGTATACATTGTATAACTGAATCACTTTGTACAGCAGAAATTAACACAAAATTGAAAATCACCTATACTTCAATTTAAAAAAATGTTCCCTTTCTACAGAGACATTCCCATCAGCACACAGCCATGCTGTCTTCACCTCCATTTTAAAACCCAAAAACTCTCTATACCCTGACTTCCCCCTCCAGTTACTACCCTAATTCTCACTTCCCCTAACAGCAACAACCTACAAGTTTGTCAATATTCCAATCTCTCTCCTTTCATTGGCTTTTAAACCTACTCCATCCTTTGGTCAAGGTCACCAATGGCCTACACTTGGCTAAATCTAATGGTTAATTCTCAGTCTTCGTATGCCATGTTACTTTAATCTAAGACACCATTATTTTATATGCCGATTAAACTTTCACATGCCCACAACTGTAAAATGCATTCTGATTGCAGAGCTATTAAATGTTTTTAAAAATGCATGTTTAAGACTTCGTGAATTATGGTCGTGCATTTCTCAGCAAAATTTGACACTATTAATCATTCCCTCTTCTGAAAATGCTTCTTCTCTTGGCTTTCAAGCCACCACACTCCCTTGGTTTCTTTCCTATTACATCCACTACTCCTTTTCCGTCTTCTTTGCTGGTTCCTCCTCTTTTCCTATACCTCTAAATATTGGAGTGTCCCAGGGCTCCATCCTCTTCCAACCCCTCATTCTCTCCCCTTCCATGATCTTAATCAGGCTCATGGTTTTAATCTCATCTCAGTGCTGATTAAATCCCAAGTTTTTGTCTCTAGCTCCAACTTCTCTTCTAACTCAAGACTCATATAATCAACTTCTGACTCAATTCTTCCACTTGGATGTCTAACAGATATCTCAAACTCAACCTGTCCAAAACTGTATTCCTAGTCTCCCACACAAACACAAACACACAAACACACACACACACACACACACACAGTATAAGCTCTATGAGGACTGAGAATCTGTTTGTATTATTGGTTAACTAATGTGTTTGATTGACAGTACCTGGCACACAGTAGACTCAATGGATTAGCTAAAGTGATCCCTTTAAAACACAAGTAGATCAGGCCACACCTCTGCCCTAAACCCTCCAGTGGCTCCTCCTTTTGTTCAGAGTAGGAGCGTAGGTGACAAAAGCTCTACAAGGCCCTTCTCCATCTGAGCACCCCACCACCATCTACCCTGTTACCTCTCTGACCTTGTCTCCAACTGCTCTCCCATCATCCACACAACTCTAGCCACACTGGCCAAGATGTCCCTCACTAAGCTAGGCAATCCTGCCCCAGGGCCTTTGCACTCACTGTAGCCTGTTCTTAGATTATTCTTTCTCCAGATTTCATAGGACTTGCACCTTTACCTGCTTCAGGTCTGTTCACCAATGTCACCTCAGTGAGGACTAAGCTGATTGTCCCATTCAAAATTACAACCCCAGTCTAGCCCCATGTCCCCAATCCCCTTTATGAGCTGCTGGGTTCATTTTCCCCTACAGCATGGTTCACCTCCTAACATACTATATAATTTACTCATTTATAACGTGTACATATATATGTTTATTACTAGTCTTTCCCACTAAAATATAAGCTCCCTGAGGGCTTAGAATCTGTCTTGTTGATTAACTGATGTATTTATCTGACAGCACAAGAAGAGTATCTTGCACACAATAGGCTCTTATTAAATATTTGTTGAATTAATATAAAAGGCAGATGCTGGGGCTATGTATTCTAAAAAAAAAAAAAAGGAAATTATTTGCCTTACATGAACTAAAAAAAGAAAAACCTCATTGTTTGGGAGAGTATGAGGCAATGCTCGCAGTGGGGAGATCTGTTGCTGTTGTTCATTTTCCTTCCTTAAGCCCTTCTAAAGGGTGGAAAGCAATACCTGCAAAACAGCCAGACATGGAGCAACTCGGAGGCTGACCTGGTAACAAATGATCGTACTAAGGAAATGGCTGACATTCTCCATCTAGAAAAGAAACTTCAGACTGGTTGGGGGCGGGGTGTGTGTGTAGGAGAAGGTTTCTCTTTTCTATCCACAGCAAACAGTGATTTAATGAGCCCTGACAATTACACACAAACTCTTGAGGATCAAAAGAGGATTAATTAGTAATGCTATCCAACACTCCTTCCTCTCCCTCTATACAGAAAATATGAAGTGTAATCTGAAGCGTCTTAAGCAGACCAACAGTTCTGTTTTAATTAATTAGCTAATAGAAATCGGTTTTCCATTATACAGTACTGTCAGTCTCTTTTTGTTTAAAAAAAAAAAGATCAGACAAACATTCCTTTTATACCCAAGACCACTTTTATAACCAAAACCAAAAGAAGTGCTTTTAGGATGCCCTGGCATTTATGACTGGAAAGAAATAAATACTCCGAAGCATCCCAAGGTCTCAGAACACTAAAATGAAAGATGAATATGTATTTGTATCTTCCTAATACCAGTTCTTTCATTCCAGGCAACTTGCTTATAAATTAAAACAAATTTTAAGGCAAAAAACAATGAATCATCTGAAGCATAATTAAAAGTGAAGTTTGTGGAATAAAATTAACAATAATAGAAAAGTAATAAGATTACATTTAATAAAAGGTAGATAAATTCCTACCAAAATTATGGAGGAAAAAAATAAAGCAACTTTGAGGAGATGTCTCTCAAAGTTATTTCATAAAAATTAATACTTTACTTAGTGAAACAGAATGCTGTTTCTGAGCATTAAAAAAACCCAAAAACTATGTGTACCCATCTATATGTATTAACTATCACCTTGCCCCTCTGTAACCCCCTTAACAATGGTTGCCCTACCACCCTTCCACTCCAACACTTCCTAGTGGACAAACTGCTGGGACTCTAAGATTTTTTTAATGACTTGATAAAATTTAAATGCTTTTAGGTCACCAAAAGTTTAAAACCCAATCATTCCATTAATGACAAGAATAAACCTATTGGGATGGGCAGTCTGGTCCTCTCTTTGTAAAAAATAGTGGGGAAATCGGAGGAACTGCTTATAAAAATGTCATATGAAAACCTTCCTTTAGCTAATGCTATGATGGTAATCATAGTGTAATATATAAACGTATCAAGTCAATGCATTGTACACCTTAAACTTACACAATGTTATATGTCAGTTATACCCTCCAAAAATATTGAAAAAGAAAACCTTCCATACATTGGCTGAGAGGCAGTCTCAGACTGGGGCAATGGATCCGAGTAAAAGCAGTATTGAACAGGTGGGCTATCACAAAATCCTTTACTGATGATCAAAGTTATTAGGTAACTAAGATAGATATTAGATACTTGGCATGGCTAGATAAGCAAACTGAATATGCATGTGTAATTGAAAATTGAGGAGCAGTAACTGATATTTGCTCCATCTGAAAACCAGATCAGTTTGGGTCCGACCGTATCTCTGGCCTCAAGATTTGGAGATCAGACTCCATTACCAGACATAGAAGAGCATATTACACAGCAGATATTCAAAAACAAAGATTATACATACCAAAAAGATTGAAATGACTCAAAAATTATGCACACTAAATATCCAATATTTATAAAATATCGTTATCCTTACCTGCATATTTTCTTCACTAGTAAGAGGTTGTCCCGAGTCAAATGATTGAAATAGCTGCTAATATACAAAATGTTAACATTAGAAACAAGAGTATTGAGTGCTCCTTTAGAAGAAACTGTTAATGTGTTCTAAAACTATCTTAAATATAATTTTTATTATAAAAGTAATCCATGCTCTAGTCAGAAAAGACAAGTATAGTAAAGAAGAAAGCAAAAATCAACATCTTTAGGTTGTCAATGTTAATATCTAGGTGCCTTTACTACCAATTTATTTTTGATGTATTTTAAAATTTTCTATATGTATTCAGATTCCTTTTCACTAAATGTTACATCATAATTGTTTTCCCACACCATTAAGTTATTTGTAAACCTCGTCTAATAGCTCAGTAACGTTCTATCTTATGAATGTAGCATAATAACTTAACCTCTCTCCTATTGTTAGACATCTAAGAAGACCACTTCTCATCCTCACCCCACCATTCAGCCCTGGTTTAAATAATATTGGTGACTATTTTGCTGGTATTTCTGATTATCACCTTTGGATAGATTCCTGGAAGCAGAAGTGCTGGGTCATAAGATAAGACTATATTGAGAAAATTGAAAAGGGGTAGCTCAATCTACCTTCCACCCATGTTGTATGAAAATGCCAGGATTACTGCACTTTCAATAGCATTGCGTATTAGCACTTAAAAATGTTTTTGCCAGTTTGAGGTAAATTGTATTACACTTCACAATGATGCTTTTTGTGGTTCTTCCCTTGTTTGTGAATTACCTGTTAATATGTTTGGCTCTAAATATAATACTGCATTAGAAAACATTCAATTCATTCGTCACAGAACATTGTTGTATCGTTATGGGGGTGCATCCCTTCTGGTACAGCTGCCTTTTTTTTTTTTTTTTTTTTTTTTTTTTT